AATACGAATTAAAAAAGTCTGTTTTTATAAGTTTTAATATGTTTAAATGAATAGCGCCTCGTTATAACGAGACGATTCTGAGCGGTGTAATGGCAATGCTCTTATTTAACTTAAACTAATTATGGATGGTTACTTAAAAATTTATAAACTTTAAATAACTTTCAAGATGTTTAAATGGGTAGAGTTTCTGTTATAACATTCACAACCGCTTCGTTATAACAGAAACTCTTCCTCTGTTCGTTCTGGCATCCCAAAAATAATGTTTTACGATTCGGTGAGAATTCTTTGTTCTTTTCACTCGGATAAACGTTAAATAATTGGAACAACCATCGACCAAACTCTTCTCTTTTTTTTCTAAAAAAAAAAATATTATTTTTAAATCGAAAGGTAAAAGATAAAGTAATACTTTTTGATTTTATTATAAACGAAGAGATTCTGCATTTTATTTTCCATTTAGAATTTTATATAAGTGGAGAAGATTTCCACAAAATTTAGAATATATATTTTTCTTTCGAATGAGATTTTCTAGAAAAAATATTCCTCGAATTTGTATATATTATATTCTTATTGAAAAACTTTAAACTAGAGTATTTAAAATTGCAACTGTCAATAAAGAATGATTTATATCTGGACATTTTCTTCAACAGCAATTTGACAAATTGCTATTAAGGAAAATATCCAGAAAGTAATGTAATGTAGAGGAAAATTGTTCTTTTATGTAATCTATAACTAGATTGGCCATTCCTGATCAGCTGCTTGCTACTCGTCGTCTTAGCAACTCTGAGCAAGGAACAAGGAATAACTGTGATCGGGGTCTGTTTTATTTACGAACTTTTAATACTTCATAAGGTAAGTCGAAATAACAAAATCGGAATAAAATTCTCAAACGATCAATTATAAATAAAAAACAAGTTATACAATAATTTATTGATAAAATAAATGGTTTTAAAATCCAACAAATTTCTGTTTGCTTCGTATGATTTATTAAATGTTTGAATTAATCATTTTGATGGATTTATGAAAAATTTCTTTAGGAAAAAAAAGAAAAATACTATTTTTTTTTTATACTATTTTTCTTATTGATAAAATCGAACGGGGTGAGTGAGTGAGAGGATATCGCTACTATTTTCACCCGATTCATAAATAATATTTCTCTTTGTAATTCGGTTTTTACCACGTAAGATAAATAAATATATAAAATAATCAAAGTTTTAAAGAATAAAAAAAACATCAACTAAAGCCAAAAATTGAAGTGGATTATAAATCTATTTTTTTATGTATGAAAGATTTCTTTATGCACTTTAAAAAAGTTTAATTTTCTTCTTTTGTTGCATGAAAAATAGATTTTTTCGAACATTTATCTAACTTATTTGGTGTGCAGAATGTTTAAAATTAAAAAAGTGATGGAGATTTTTAGATAAAATCCTTCAAAGTTTGCGAATATTTTAACGGTTTTACATCGTATAAATTTGTTAGTATTGTAAAATATTGAGCTATTATTTTGATATATTGATATACCCGTTACTCTTTATGATGACACGAACTATGTAGATGCCCTGTAAGTAGTCTTTACTCAATTTATATATATATAAAAAAAAGGAACATAAAGTTACATTTTTGAAAAAATGTATGTGATATAAATTTCATTTTGTAACTTTAGACAGCGAAGAAAGATTCGTGTTATAGCCTATATATATATATATATATACATATAAGGTAAAAAATAAAATAAGAAAAAATGTATGTGAGGCAAAGATGTCACTTCACATCCGGAGTACAGATAGCTTGTAAATGAAATTGGTAGCAAGTAAAGTTGAATGTTATCGCTAAACGTCATGCAACTTTCTCTTTTNTATGATGACACGAACTATGTAGATGCCCTGTAAGTAGTCTTTACTCAATTTATATATATATAAAAAAAAGGAACATAAAGTTACATTTTTGAAAATTGAAAACAATATAATTGGCAGGATGTTCACGTCAAACGGTCATTTTGGTTTTCTATTGCGTTGTAACGGTATTTTATGATGTTGAGGAACGTTGTAACGGTTTTTTTTTGTAATGTTAACAAATGAAAGAAACGCTTTTTGTAGCAGAATATTATATCTGCGATACATTTATGCTTAGGGACGTATATGGGAGGTCGTGTATGTCGGTCAATGGACGAGCAAATCGCCACTTCCTGTATGGTTACGAGAGATGTTTCTTCGCCTGTTCGCTCTGATTTTAGCAGCCGTATCTCTACTAATAGCAAGAGTTAGATTGATGGGATCTCAGTTACCCGTCTTCACAAAGTAAGTACAGCCCATCACTTTTAATGATACAATAATCTGCTACAACTAGATTACTGCACTCATAAAACGTGAATAAATAAGTAATGGATATCGTCAAGATTTTCTATTAAATATTATTGAATAAATGGCATACACTTAATTAACATTACGAGATTTCCTGACGTTATTTAATTTTCACTTCACGGAAAATATTAAGAATGGGTAATTTATAAACGTAATTTTTGAATGTCATTCGCATATTCTATTAACCTCTGTTCATTATTATTTAAAGAAATGTAAACAAATATAGTAAAATGTATTTAGTATTTAAAGAATTTATCAATTTTTAAAGAGTACATTTGTACATTTGAAATTACTCAAATGTACTAATGTTACTTGGTTAGAAATTTGAAATTTTGATCGTGGTTAAAATTTCTATCGCACGTTCTATTACTGTAATTAATAGCCAACACCTTACGATAATCTATAGTAAACACAGATAATGGATAATTAATTTAGAAATAGATGTATCATAAACTCTATAAATCATTTATAAACATGTTAATTACTTAAAGGTGTTAAAAATGTTGGCAACTTTGTAAATGATCACCGTTAATCCAGTGGATTGTTCGCAGGAGACGGAGGATAATGGAGCTGTAAAACATAAAATAATTAAAAAAATTCGAGTGTATAAATCAAAAGATTGAATAATAAAATGCGAAATTCAATAGATATAATGTTGCAAAAATAATAAATCCTCGAACTTCTTAAGGAAAATGTTCTGGAGTGTGTGGTCGGTTTATTACCCATTCCGTAGTATCTAATAAATGAAGCAGCTTAAAACAATTCATCAAGAGTCAGTCCATTACACGTTTAGTCCGTAGACTACAATTTTCTATTCACATTTTTGAATGATTACAAGCGAAAACGTGTGCGAGACAAGAATGAATTTATTTTCTCACATAAGTCACCGGATTAGTCGATGTTATCAGTAAGTGCGGTTTTAACTTATAACATTTCCACACGCAGCCATTTTTAAAATAAGCCGAGGACGTACACTTTCCCATAATTAGTGTGATTAACTGCTTTTTACAGACGTGAATAATTATAAAGAAAGACATAGGAGTTCTTAGTATTCCGCGCGGTGTTTAAGTTACAGAGAGCAAGCCCCTTTAACTGTCTTATTACATATTCAGAGTCAACCTAACTATATTCGATGACGAATACCACCCAATTAGTTGGAAAATGTCGAGTGTACATTGTACCTCTGGGACTTACGTGATGCGAGTGAGCAATGCATTAATCTGTGGTAGATAACTAATATACCCGCCATGTTTTGTTTATTGATCACATGACACGCTTCTCCGGTCGACGTTGCTAAAAAGAATAACAATTTTACGTCAAGATATATTGGCGATGAGTGATGAAGAGAATAATCACAAATGAGTCGAGTAAGGTGAGGGTTATTAAGGTTGCAGCTTTTTGACACGCAGGTAATATTTTAAACGCTTTTCTCTCTTTGCTGTAATTAATTATTAATACGGTCTTAAGGGAACGAAGAAATTAAATTTGCATTTTTTTTAATTACATTTTTTCAATATTTTTAGATTTGACAATCCCGCCGCTGTGTCGGATACTCCAACGAGACAGCTTACCTATAATTATTTATTGCCTGTTAATGTTTGGCTACTTCTGTTTCCCTGTGATCTTTGCTGTGATTGGACAATGGGGACCATTCCACTCGTGGATTCTTTTCTGGATCCGAGAAATTTAGCAACCGTAGCTTTATATTTTGCAATAAGTGCACTGATAAGGAGCAGCGTGGTTTCGGAAGCGGAAGGACATTATTCTGTAGTGATAATGGTAAATAATTTGAATATTAATAAAGATTAAACTGTAAAAAAATAAAAATTTTCCAAGTTTTTGCTGAAAAAATTATATATATAACGAAAAAAAATTGTTTGTTGTAGGAAATAATTCTTTGTAAGAGGGGAAAAAAAGTATTCTCGCCTCATACAGAAAAAAATTTTTTTACAAGCATCTGAAGAAATGTATTGTTTGTTCTTTTCTAGAGTCTTTCTCTGATGATGTTTCCGTTTCTACCTGCTTCCAATTTGTTTTTTCCTGTGGGTTTCGTAGTTGCAGAAAGAGTTCTATATACACCTAGTATGGGGTTCTGTTTACTTGTAGCATATGGATGGCAACTTCTTTATAAAAGGAGGTGATGTCTATAGATCAATCAAACTTGACGTATAGATTATCAAAATTTATTTTTTGAAATTAATAGATAGAAGAAAAACTACAACTACTATAAAAAGTAGAGTGTATTGTATATTAAAATTGAAAAATCCCTTTTAAAGCTAGAATTTAATTTTAATTTAGGAGAATCTTATTTTTTACTGCCTTTTTAAGAGTACTTGGAAATAATTTTTCTTGTTCTTTTTTTCCCTTTTATTTGTGTATAGAAGATGGAAGTTAATCGTGTGGAGTGGAGTTTTGGGTCTTCTTTTCATCCACACGCTGAAGAGTGTCCATCGGAACAGCGATTGGTGAGTGATTGATGAACTGTGCTAATGTTGTGTTAAGGCGAGAATTCGAAAGGAAACTATCTAAGATGATATTGCATCAAGAATTCAAATTGATCTTTCGTTTTGTTGAAACAACTATCTAACTGGAGCAGAAAATTGAATTTTTCTTTACGTCTTTTGTATAGAATTTTTGCAACCATAACAAAAGATGTTTTGTTGACTGGCGATGAAGTCAATTTCCGAATCTTTTTTTTTTCATAAAATAAATTTTTTTTTGATTAATTAAAACTTTGAAACGAATTTCTTTATTTTCTAAAAACTACAAAATGAAGTTTTCTAAATGTAATTATTACCGTAATTAAAATGGAAAAAATATAAATCATAGTTTTTACTCGACTTTTTTAAATCGATAATTTGTTAATTTTTCTACGCAAATATTTCATTAAAACAAATAAGTATCGATATATTTAATAAATATTTTGACCAATTGAAAGACGTGTTAAGCTTAAAATCTATAGCGGGATCATAAATAAATTGTGTTTGCTTCAAGGTGTCATTTATTTTTCATGACAGATAGACTAGGTCAGCGCTCTTCCTTTATATCATAACTTTATAGGGTCTGTGCCATTTGTATCGAAGATTATCTAAAAAAAAAACTTTACTTATCGTTGTTAGATCGATATTTATTTAATAAAATTTTATTTTTTTATATTGTAAACTACAGGAAATCGGAGTATACAATTTTCATGGCTGGATTGAGAGTTAACGATCGCAATGCTAAGCTATACAACAACGTTGGTCATGCGTTAGAAAATAGAGGAGACTATCAAAAAGCTCTGGAATATTTCAGGAAAGCTTCCGAGTAAGTAAAACAATATTTGATTAATTAATTACAAAAATCTTTACGTATTTAATTACTTAACCAAATTTAGTTTCTTAACAATCCTTATTGTTTGCACTTTGTTTTCCTCGGTGGCTGTTTTCTTAAGAACGAGATATGCTAATCAAATATTGAATATCATAAATGCTAAATTATTATTTAACATAAAGAAAAAAGGAAAAAATATATTAAAGAATTGAACAAATAAAAGGAAAATAGCAGTAATTAAAGAAAAATCAATAGTCGAAATTGTAATCTAATAAAAGTAATTTTAGTGAAAATGTCATCTTGATAAATTGTTTCAAATACAATTGTTTTATTTAAATGAATTTTTATGCAAAACAGAGTTCAACCGGATGATATAGGAGCGCATATTAATGTTGGAAGGACTTTAAACAACATGAGAATGTATCAAGAAGCGGAAGAAGCATTTTGGAAGGTAATTATCTTCAATTAATGTAAATTTTGTATAAATTATTATTATTATTTTTTCCACCGCTCGACATTTTTATACAGTTTAGAAGTCATACATAATGTAAAACATATAAAAATGGAAAGCTAACGTATTCTTTTACTTTTCCGTTTTCACTATTTCCGTTGATTTTTGAACGACTTTACATTTTTATTTATCGTATCTTTTGTTACTTTTTATATCCATTTTTATCCTTCAGACCCTTTTACTTTTTACTTTGCTTTTCATATTGGTTGTACAGTACTTTCACACGGAAAGGGAGCAGATGTTACTAAAGCTTCCTCTACCCTCCTTCAAGATTAAAAGTAATATCTTGTCTAACCCATAATCATACAATAGACTAACAAGGAAGTAATAAATTAAAACAAAAGTTTTCAGACGTTAAGGATTGAACCGGAGCTTTAGTATACGCTGATTGTGATTGTCCACAACTAATTTCAACGTTTCGATAGTAAATGAAGTGTCGAGAATAAAATTAAGTCGGGATTTATACGGTATATTAGTATAAGGAGATTAGTTAAAACAGTATTAATTAAATTGGAAGACGTTGGTGTTAATGGCAATCTATAGGATTAAAAAAGTATTTAATGAAGTAGAAAGCTACTTATGTTCCCGAATTGAGCCTCATAAAATAGTTGTTCCGCAATCTTAAGCGAAGTTAGGAGAAATAAAATTGCTCTGTCAATGATTGCTTTTCTATGAAGGCGATAAAATAATTTGAAAAATGATAGAGAAGATAATCAGGAAAGGATCAAAGTTAAAATCAAATAAAATTTAAATATTTTATGAGGAAATAAAAATAACTTCTAAAAATTCCCCATTTGTTTATTACTTCGTTTCTGTAGGTGTAAAAATATTCACCAATTTATTGGGAAATTTAATAATTTACTCAAAATAAGCTTAGTTTGAATGTCTAAAAAGGTTTTTTCGGAGTGATTTAATCATATAAAAAGGTTTCTTTACTGTTAGAAGATTAAGTGCCTAACATATTAATTTACTGAAAAAATCCGGTTGCAATTTCTCAGTTTAATTTCCATTTAAACAGTTAAAAAAGGACAAATAAAGCAGATTAATTCGTAAGTTAGCTTAAAAAACGACATTTTGAGTAAGTTTTTTAAAGTAAATTAGTGTTGTAAATTCTTTAGAAGTTGGGTTAAGTCGACCAATAAATCTATTAAATTAATGTCTATTGATAGTCACAACGATTAAAATATTCATCAGGACATATCTTTTGTCGAAAGTGGCTCTCTCTCCCTCAGGTGACATCACGTCTTTAACCGAAGATTGCAATCCGTCTCCATTAATACAATTTCCAAATTCATCATCTTGAAACGTTTCGTGTCCGCATTAAGACAATGTAAAGTTCGTTAGGGATTTTCATCTTGTTCAAATTAGTGCCAGGAGGGAGAGTAATTACGAAACGCGTAATTTCCTTAACTGGTTCTATCGCTGACAACGAGTGGAAGTAATTTTCTGCATTCGGACGCCGAGGGGATTTATACTTTCCACATATGATTTAAACATGAATTTCCAAACCAAATCTAACACAAAAATAAAGAATTTGCAAACAACTTTATATATATACTGTATATTACTTATCTCCCTTACAACCATTATCGATTTTCGACTTGTATTTTCTTCAGCGTGAAATTTTCAGCAATAAAAACTGTACTTTACAAGTTAACAGTAAGTAAATTAATGCAGGACATTAAGAAAGCCTCTGTTAACCGAATTTATTTAACGTTTTTTTCAAGGCAAAAAACTTGCTTCCTCGACCTCGTCCAGGTGAACAGTACCAAGCCCGTGTGGCTCCGAGTCATCTGAACGTTTTTCTAAATCTAGGAAATTTGATATCTAGGAATGATACCAGACTAGAAGAAGCCGATTCGGTGAGAATTCTTTGTTCTTTTCACTCGGATAAACGTTAAATAATTGGAACAACCATCGACCAAACTCTCCCCCTTTTCGCTTTGCCATCTCAAAAGTAATGTTTTATCTCATTAAAATTGTATTTTATAAATAAAAGCTGTATTTTTAAAAGTTTTAAGACGCTTAAACGTGTAAAGTTTCTGTTATAACTTTCGCAACAGCCTCGTTATTACTAGGTGATTGTGAACGTTATAACAGAAACTCTTCCCCCTTTTCGTTCTAGAATCTCAAAAATAATGTTTTATATCATTAAATGTTTTATTTTNTAATTAAAAATTTAATTATAATTGTTAAAATAATTTAATTTAGTATATTTATTTAAGGTTGAACGTATTACTACAGAAGGGAAAAGCTAGTGAAAGGGTGTATTTCAATCTAGGGATGTTAGCCATGGACAATCGTGATGTCAGTGAAGCCGAGAAGTGTTTTCGTAAAGCTATTGAGGTCTGGATGATTTTGCAAGTTTAAACCATGTAAATACACGAAAATCTTAATAATCTTTTTGTCTTCTTTTTTAGTTACGTGACGATTTTAGAAGTGCCCTTTTTAACTTGGCGTTACTTCTTTCCGATGCTCACCGTCCTTTCGAAGCTGTGCCTGTTCTAAAGCAATTGTTAAAAGTGAGTAAACTTAATAAATTATTTGTTAATGAATAAGAAAATAACGTTTCGTTTTCGTGTACAGTACAACCAACAAAAATACATTAAACAGTACTTTGGGTGGAGTTTTTTATTCTTTAAATATATCCCTGCACTCACGGAATATATCCATAAATTTATATCAATTTTTAAAAGAAATTCTCTATAGTAAATTTTACGAAATGATTTTCTCATTTGGGAATTTGAAAGTTTTATTATTAAAATTGATTTTCCTGAAAGTTTAAATGTGTAAAAATAAGCAAGAAAAAAAAAATGTTTTGAAGGAGTAAATTAAACAAAAAATCGAATATTTGTGTAACATTTTATTCGATTTATAGATTAAAATTATTTTTAATTACAAACTAATTAGTTATTTTCGAAAATCTCTCATTTATTGATTATTTTTAATTTATTTTTATGAATTTAAATTAATGTTTTCCAACCGGTAGATCGCGAACGCTTAAGTATCATTCTGTCTAATACTCATTTGTCAGATAAAAGAAAAGGTTGGGAAGAAAGATAAGAGAAAGGGTGTGATGTCAGATCTAATATACATATATATATTTTATTTATTCCACTGAACGGTGACTTATTCATTTATTATCCGGATTCATTATTTATTAATCTATTCGAATAATTACAATAATTATTAGGATAATTTAAGCTGAAATGCTTATTTTTCAACCAGTAGCTCCCGAGTTCTACAAGAACATTCCTAATTAATATTCATTTGAGAGATAAAAGAAAAGGTTGAGAATCAATTTTATTTAGCAGCTTTCTATTGCAACAGCCTCGTTATTACTAGGTGATTGTGAACGTTATAACAGAAACTCTTCCTCTGTTCGTTCTGGCATCCCAAAAATAATGTTTTACCTCATTAAAAGTGTATTTTATAAAATAAAATAAGTAAAACAAAAGTGAATTTATAAGTTTTAAGATGTTTAAAAGGGCAGAGTTTCTGTTATAATGCTTAAAACTTTTATTTAAGTTAAAATAATTATAGGATTATTTAAAATTTGTATAGAGGAAGTAACAAAAACACAATAAGCTTTTTTTAAAATTCATTTAAAGTAGATCTAGAGAATTAAATTCGTAGTTAAAGTTAAGTAGGAGTTATATTAGTGGAGGAGATGATACGATGACGTTATTGAGTAAAATTGATTTGAGAAAGATGCTTTTAGGGAAGAGAAATTCAAGCTTCAGTAAATGTATTATTACGGTCGTGCATTATTCTGAAAAGACCCATTAATGTTGTAGTTAAGTTCCCCCCTTTCAGTTTGCAGTTGGAAATTTGATATGCTATATATTTGTTGTATATAACTTAGGAGTATACAGGCAACATTGTCTTTCCAGAGGCGATTGTTAATCATTAAACGAACGGAAGTGTAAGACTATCCCTTTNCCGTGTGATTTTTTTTAGAAATAAAGTTTATATTCTAAACTATTTCTCAAGTTAAATATTCTTTTTTAAAGCTAAGGAATTTTTTTGAAGTTCTCCTCCTTTTTCTTTATGGAGAAAGAGAGATGAGAATTAAAGAAATTCAAAAACAGATATAAACATTGTTTAGAGAAATGATTGATCTGACTACAAGAAATGGATAATTATGTTGTTTTTTTAGATTCTCTATGATCATTATAATTGTTCAATAGTTAAATTGAGAATTTGGTTTTTTTAGATGCGCTCCAATCATTCAAAATAAACGAGAATAACTGTGCGAGTCTGTCCCATTTATCGATTTATTGTGCAGACTGTCTTTATTTTGATTACTGCACTTCCTTCGAGAGTTAATCGGTCGATATGGATACAAATTTATGATCAAGATGTTTACTATATCGAATTAAGATAGAAACCGTAGTATTTTAAGATAATTAGAAAAGTTTTACTACATCCTAATGAGTTGTTTAGTTTAAGAAAGATAATTAAATTTTATTTAAAACAGCATTTTCTATATTTAATTTAGAATCATCCCGATCATGTAAAAGGTCTTATACTCTTGGGAGACATATACATTAATCATGTTCGCAATTTGGACGCTGCTAAACAGGTGATAACAATCAACTTTATTAAATATTCATTCTTAGTTTATTAATCACAATATTCGAATAATTTAAATAATAAACTAATCTCAATTTAATATTTTATTAACGTTAACGTTTAATTTTATTGACATTCAATGCGCGAAACTCGGGAGGATTTTAGTGTCTGTCGTTGTTATTCATTTGTTATCGTGTATATTTTTTCCCCTTTGTTTTTTTTTATAGTGTTACGAAGATATTTTATCGTTGGAACCTTCCAATATTCAAGCGTTACATAATTTATGTGTGGTGTACGTGGAACGTGGACTTTTATTAGAAGCCGAATCGTGTCTGAAGAAAGCAGTGAGTATAGCTCCACACGAAGAATACGTCCAACGTCATCTAAAAATCGTTAAAGATCGTCTAAAACAGCAAGAAGATAAACAATCGCTAAATGGACGAAACAGCAGTTATTCTAGCAAATTTTCGCTATTAAATTAATATATATAAATATACCAATCGTTCGAGTGACGAGTGACAGAATCATCAAAGAAGTTCCTAGAAATGATTGATTATTGGTGCTATCTGGTCCTTCACGGGATACCTAATAAACATCTATGCTATGTACTAATTAAGTAGTAATATCCGTGTACATACAGTAAATAGGACCATTATTTTTATATGTGCACCTTTTCTGTTTAACAGCGAGGTGTAATCATTGGTGTTTGTGACGAAGACAATTCGATTATTTTCTGTGATAAACGGAATTTAGAATACATTATAATGTATTATTTTACCTTTTTTCTTAGTTTCAGGTATGTACATGTTTATAATTTACATATTATTTGCTATATATAATAACAAGAGCGCGATTATGTTGTGTAAATGTTCAATTCCTCAACAGTTCTACGGAATAGAGTTCTATTTTTATTGTATATTCATTAGTTTGCGTATACCAAAGATATCATGTAATGTGTTCTTAGTTATGGGCATATCAGTATAATTACATCCTGTGATCAATAAATTACAGTTCAATTTTTTAAAAAATTAACGAATATTTTAATCTTTTAAAATCGTATCCATACAAAGTCAAGAACAATATAAAAGAACAATAAAGACGGCTGAGAGGATTTGCGGGCATTCAAAAAATACTTTTCGTATCAATATTTCCGAGTGAAAAATAATTGAAAACAATTTTCTTTAATATTTAAAAGTAATATTTTATGAATAAAATTGGATAAAAGGTAAAAACTTCACGGGTCATCAACTGCAAAGAAAGAACATAATGACTCTTCATTCATCCATGAATTTTACAAAACTAGAATAATTTTTGATTCAATCGACTGTGAATTCTTTCGGAATTATTCGAAGCAAACTCTTCGAATATTTCCAATTTTGATATTAGAAAAAAAGAAAGAAAAAGTCAAGTTAATCGATAATATAGGTAATGGCGAAAACTATTATCTCTCTAGCAAGCCATTAAGATATAAGTCAATAATGAATATCTCATAAAGAACGAGTGAAAATCTATGCCATTACTGAGGTATATTACGTGATAACAGTACAGACAGATATCAATTTGTTCCGCATACAAGAAAGTACCGTTATTAGATTAATTGAGGATCATTGTACGGGGTCATACGACAATTTTTTAGAAGAAATTACTTTATCACACCAACTTCTTTCTTTGAAACTTTAATAGGAAATTCCGAATCTCGTTCTGCTATGCATCCATAATTCATTGGAAAGCAACTGCTAATGTCTTAAGTTTTGTTGCTAAATGTCTGATGTAATTGCCAAGGTACCCCCAATTGTTCGACTCGTTAAAAGTTTAAAACCATCGCTAATATATCATTTGATTTTGTTAATTAAGTAATGGGTATTAACCTTTACAACTCCGGAATATATTATATACTGATTGTTACCATCTCTAGATATTGGATTCGCTCTTGGAATTCTAAATGAATACGAGGTTTTGGTATCCTAAGATTGTGCTTTCCATCCACGTACATTAACCAATGAGTACATGGAATATTTTATATCCCGACAAATAACAGTCAGTAGCGTGTGGCAAGTCGTAACATTTAAACTTCACTCTGTCTGACCCGAAGGAATGTAATTTGCTTAATATAGACTGGTTTAATTATTAAAGCAATAAATTCTTTAATTTACTTTATATTGATTTTTATTTTTGTTTGTTAACGTTATGTCATAACGTTATGTTTCCAAAGTGGAAACGTACAGGATATATCAAATTTATACCTTAGGGATTTGAAACGTTGCCAAATACTAATTCCGAGTTTAAGTGTAAATTTATTTGTATATTAAAAATGATTACAGCTCGAAATTATAGAATACTTCTTAGGGTTTTCATTAATTAACAATCAATCTTTCTTGCCACTTAATTTTTATTAGTGTTACTTAATCCAATATTTTCTATATTTAATGTTGGAAATTAATTCTATATTTTTTAAATAGTTTCTTACGCTGAGAAAACGTTGCTTTTGTTAATTTTAACAATAACACAATGCAGAAATTCCATTCAAAAAAACGTTGACAGAAACTATTGGTAAAAATAAGGTAGAATTTAAAATAATCAAAAAATAAATAAATAAAAATGAAAAAAAGAGAGAAAATAATAGAATGTGCAACTTTGTATTTATAGTGTCAAGTGAAAAATCACGCCCTTTGTATAAAAGTAGAGTGAAGTCAGCCTTTCAATAACAGAATGAAAGCTTCTATTCACATTCCATTGAGATCAACCTTATCGCTTACTACGAAGGCAGAAACCGGACTTTATTCCATTTTTATTGAAAAAAAATATATATATAGTCATCTATCTCTACTTCCAGTAAATTTATGCCGTTTTGTGAATGATATAAGCTGAATAGTAGTTCATCTAGCCAATAGAATGCTATCATTTGACCATTTTATGATCTGCACAAAATAGGTGTCTGAAACGATCGATGTCGATAGATATCTATTTTCTTTGAAAACTAATCTGCTATCGCACTAAAATGGATCGAATTTCGTACATCTAACTCAACTGAATGCTAAAAGCCAGAGAATGTCACCATGACTCACTTTTCCAATACGCTTATTCATTGGAAACCATTGATAACGGAGAGTATAAGGACACCAGACATAATTTTTAAACTGTCAAAACAATAGGAAAAAAAATATTTCATCCTCGAAAACTTTTAAAATTTATGAAATTTTTAACTCGGATTATTTACTGTTTAATTAAACGTATAAAATAAAAGGAATTTACCTAAGAAATGTATATATATGCGTGTGTATGTAACCCCTCTATTCAAACTCATTACTTACGGTTTTATCTTCAATGTGTTTGCATAAATCAAAGGATTGGAGAGGTTCTCTTAGTATAAGCTCTCGTCACATCGCATCAAAGAGGATTCAAACGCCCAAACTAAAACTAATCGCTTCTTTGATACCGAGATATTTCAAGTTGTCATGAAACTTGTCGCGATGTCTCCTCGCGATCGATATTTGTCGTAAAGATGTTCTGTTGCTTTCTGATAACACCTGGAATTGACCATAGCAAAAATTTACAACTGTAAATTAAAGGAGATTATGTCAAAATACATATAACTTCACATAATTAGCTTTAAAAAAGGATTTTTTTTCTATCAGCAGTAATTTAAAGCGAGTAGAAAATAGATTTTTTTGTACGCGTTTCCTTACAAGAATTTTGTATTGTATTCACTACTAAACTATATATAGGCCTATATATATATATATATATTTTTTTTTTCTAAAAAATTCGGATTTGTACTTATAATATAATATAAAGTTTGTTAAAAAGTAGTAATAATATGTTTAAGGTTAGAATTTAGTATGTAATGATGGTTTAGTTTTCCTTGTTCTTTTATTTGACTTTGGAACAATTGTGTGCTTGTACTATGTATACAAACGGGTATTTTGAAAAGTTAACGGAATTCGAGAGAAAAAAATTCCACTAAAGGTTTATTTTGTTGAGTTAAAGAGGCGGAACAAACGGTTGAAAGACTCTACCCTTAACTGAATTTGGTATATATTTCTGCTTCTAAAATGTTTTCTGAAATAACAATTTATATTTTTATTCGAAGGAAAAACAGATTTAAAGAATTGTTATCGTTGAAGGAATAATTTCGATTCTTTCTTTCATAACGTATAACTTAAATTTCGAACTTATGGAAACTAATAAAGGTATTGTCTGATAATTAGATTTCATTTTGTGGAGTAATTCCCACCATACCACTAACCAATCAGCTAAATAAGGAAACGTGACGCTAACTATGGAATGTATCCCTATCGACATTGTATGGGTGTGACCACAGATCACTGTGCAGCGATTGACCCAAATACCACTCAGACTCCGTAATTGGCTCATCTTATCCTTAAAATCAGATAATTCTATACCGCAAACCGGGGAAATCGCGAAATGTGCCTAAATAAATGAGTAGAAAGAAATCATCCAAAAATCACCATTTTCTTTTGTACCAATTTTCTCTTAGTGCAATTTTTAAACAATCATATTTTGAAGTTAAAATTATTATATAGAAAAGCTATTTTTATATGAATCTCTAAAAGAAAAGCAGTACCAAAACATGTATAAGAGTATTGCAAAACCTCTAAATGAGTCCTTTTTTAGAGTATTTAAAACAGTAATTTAAGTAAAGAAGAATTAAATGATATCCTGCGACTTGGGTATTTTTCCTCTTCAATAGGACAAATATGCATTTTCTTTGAAGGTAAAGAAACCAAAGATTCCTTTCTTTGAAGAGCTGTCAATATCGAACCATCGCCTGTGTAATATGAACTCAGAGAATCTCGCATTTCTCCTTCTAAAATTCTAACTTGGCACATCAACCAAATATAATATCAACCAACAATTTTGCATTCGAGCAAAGTTTTCCCAACTTTACTCAAACCCTACTTAATTTTCGAGAAACTGAAATATTTTATCCCTCTCCTTTTACCTTTCAAAAGTATATTCCTCTACTGAGGTTTACAAAATACACTTTTTCTTATTTTTATTTTTCAATTTCTAAAATATAAAATATATTACTAGGAAATTCTCTCTCTGAGGTTTTTGCATTTTTATAATAAAATATATTTTCGTAATACGTTTCTACAATAAAAAATATATTAATATACCTTTGGTAAGAGGAATGTCATACATTTTTCTTGTTTAAACTATTCAATTTTGCATGCAAAAACTATATTTCAGTTTCTATAATGTTTAATTTATAAAATGATTCTGTTATATAAATCAACATCATTTATTTTACTCTTCAACATTTTCTTTTCTTTGCTTTTACAAACCCATTATCGGACTTACTTGCTTCTTATTTAAATTAATCATAATGAAAATAGAAAATTAATTCAAATTATATAATTTCTACTTTTTATTATACTCTTAACTTAATGAAAAAATCATATAAGTTTAATGAAAAGGCCCTATATACAAAGAAGAAACTATCAAGAAGTAAGAAACAATGAATTATGACGCCATTAATTCTTCCAACTGAGAGGTATATCAAGTGTTGTGAATACAATTTCTTCCTATTTTTTTCCCTTTTAAAGTCGTTTCTTTTTACACATCTGAATAATACATACATTAAAAGTAACTAGTATACGCAGTAGCAAATCACTTTTAAATCTGCACACAATTTTCTATAATATTTAATATCATTCTGACTCTTTTATATTCATTTAATCTGTCAGATGATTGATTACTTTAAGAGAAAAAAAAATAATTTCAAATGTTAAATTTTAATAAGTCAAATTGATATTCAGCATAAGTCAATTAATATATTACATAATTCTTTTTTACAGTTTCTCTTTCTTAACTACATTTTTAATTATTAGGATATTAATAAACTTATAAAAATTGTAAAACTAAAGTTTAACAAGCGTTAAAAATAAGAAAATATATACTTTGATGCCGTCGATTCTTAGACTTTTGTCTACCCCAGTCTAATTATCACAGGCTTTTATTTTTGTTGACGTTCTTCCCCTTTGTAAAGTATGGTCTCCAGTCGAATCCCTGAGGGAATGGATGCCTCATCTAGTAGTAGCTAATTGAACAACTTTGCGAAATGTTAAGTAGGCAGTACTCGAATTAATAATTCTTTTATATTTTACAATCTTACATATTTTTCTTTAACAAAAGCATAAATTACATCTCATTAATTGTAACCTTCATTTTGCGCATTATCTTTCTTTTATTAAAAAGTATTACCATCGACGATACTCTTAAGAAAATTTGCAACTATTAAATGAATATCAAATCTCTCTTTAGTTTTAACTTTGATCACTCCGCTGAGAGATTTTTATTTCTATTGACAAAAGTGTAGAAGCAAGTTCGATTCTCCTTACTTCAACGTCTTGATTGAGGCAATTTAATATACCTCAGATTGAGGAATTCCTCTTACCATCTGCTCAACTTCATTAACTTTACAAGGGCGTTTCTGCCAATTTTAAATTTAAAGTATTTAAAAGAAAATCTTACTTTTATATCAACAATTGATGAATTATGTGCTTCTAATTTATCAATTTCATTATTTTTTGCCTGGGAAAATAAAACTGACTTGCTATCATTACACAAATCATAATGTTTGCTTTCACTTAAATGATCATTGTTTGAGTATGAACTCCCTAGATCTGAAAATATAGTAATATTAAGAAATTTTTAAATTAAAAAAATCTGTCGACTTTCCCGTCGGTCATTTGTCACTGCTTGCCTGGTTGTTCCTTCTTAGTATTCTTGTTTAGTATAAAGTTAAGTTTAATGCTTAAAGCCAACGAAAAGGCTTTAAACTATTACTAAAATAATACAGATACTAATGTAGCAAGCTCTGTAAGAAGCAAAATAATTTAATTGAAACAACACGGAAAAAGAATGAATACAGTNAAATGTAATTTCAGTAACGTTGTTTAAAACGCGTATAAGATGTAAAAACACGCGCGTATTTGGAAGATTTTTGTAAAAAATTCTTAATAAAAGTGATTAAATGAAAAGAATTTAATGCTTATACCTTTTTAATATTCGTTTTAGTGTCGTCTATATTAACGCTTATGCAAGTCATAGGTATGGAAGTTGGCAATGCAAACAGGTCGTTGTCGCGTTAAAGTGTCAAGGGTGATTGAGTGAAAGGTTCCCATTAGGAGACACTTTCTCTCGCAGAGGACATTACTCGTTTCTGTTTCTCTACATCCCGTGTGAGTGATCAATTCACACGAAAGGACAGAACCATCCCGTCATCACTTAACTTCAAATCTTGCACTTCCCAATGGTAATTCCTGGTTGTTCGTATCAAATGGATGTCGACGTTCGCTAACAATTATGAAGTCAACTCTTTCACCTTTCGATGAACCTTTAGTGACAGCTTTTCTCTCCAGGGATACTGCTTTTCTCAACGCTCGATTAAATATGGCGAGAAGCAATCAGTGTAATTATACTACTAGAATAGATAAGTCGCAAACCGATGACAAGAAAATAATTAAAACCTTAAATTTTAACTCGAAATTAATATATAATTAAAGTTTTACATATTTTTTTCGTCTACGTTTCCTGTTAAATTTACAGAATTGGCAATTTATTTTAAATATATTGTAAATTAATGAAGCGATGAATGTAAACTATATTTAAATATGATTAAGTGAGTGATAGATCATTTTTTAAATGAATTTTAATATAAATTAAATTAAAATAAAGACACGGATGAAATTCTCGAAAGTCCAGCTGTGAAATTTACAAGAATTGCCAGCTATTGAAAGGAAGATATTAGCGTAAAGTATTCTCTATTTACGCATAAGATGTTTATTAGCTGAATAAATGCAATTCATAGAAAGGAGGTAGTTAAAAGCCATAGAAACTTTTGTGGTAGTAAAATAGAGAGAAATTCAACACAATTTTATAGATGTGCATTACACCAGTCATTACTTTACTGAAGAATTTTCTTTTATCCTATTGCCCGGAGGAACAGAACAACTTTTAGAGACGATGAAGAAAGCGTAAAGTTCATTAAACTGACAAAAATGTGAATGATTCTAAAACATTATCCTCTAGGGAAATATGAATTTCAAAGACAAGACACTTCGATTTTTTAGATTTTAACAAAAACTTAATCGATGTATCGCTTATACTTTTAATGGTAGTGGATATATATACAATAATAGGTGACGTATAAGAAAAATAAAAGAAAATATCCGCTAGTTTATACAAGTTGTATGAGGATGGTAGAAGCAACGACACTTGTTTGGTGTGTGACAACTGGGTAATGTAAGCAATTCAGAGTCGAAGAGTGAAAATCGGAATGGGGTTTACACACGGGTCAAGTAAGGTAAGAATTTTCGGGAAGCAAATATTCCTTGGTATTCTGAAGACATCCTTCGATATCATGATGTAAATAAATGTTACGCGTAAGAAACAGGCTATAAAAATAGGAGACTTATTAAGGTATATATTTAAATAAAAATGTGGTAAAACAGGACTGGATTTTTTCTAATATTCGTGCCTCATAATTAAGAGGAAAAAAAATCAGTTATATAAACATCGCGTTAGCATTTCTTCACATTAAATTTTTATATATTAGTAGAAAAAAAATGTCTACTTTTGGCTAAAAGAAAATAACTATCCTTTAATTAGGTATTGTTTGCTTAATAAATGATTTTTTTTCGTATTTATTTAGAAAGTTTGTTTGAATTCTAATGAATATTTTCTTTTTTAAATGGTGAATTAATTAAGTTTTATCATTAAACAACTCGTCATTATAATGCTTTCCTCTAAATGAATATAAATGATAACAATAACATTATACTATATTTTAATAACTTTATATCAACATGAAAATTCNAATATATATATTAAGTAGTTGAGATAGCTTTATTTCGAACAAGCCACCCTTGAAAGAGAAACAAATGGGAAAAAAGGGCTAAACTCACCAACATCAGCATCAAAAATAATCTTTTCGTTTCCTTTGTATTCTTTGACCAGAAAAATGTCTTCAGTAACATCTCTTCCCTCAGTTTTTAGTTGCATTTGCCGAATATTGTCATTTCTTAAATGACGGAGTGAGTGAACATGCTGAATGAGATTAAGCTTGGTTCGTGTAAAGAAGTGACATAACTTGCAACTATAATATTTATTTTCAATGTTTAGAGAGTTCTCTTTAATTTGGAGATGTAGAAATAATTTACTACTAGTTTCGTGCCTTGGATTGGCTGTGTGAAGCTGCAATTTATGAATGCTGTTTGTATAGTAATCACATGCGTTGCATCTTACTTGTACAGGATTGTTAACATTCATATACTTCAACTTCCATTCCGTTACAGGACCGCCTTCTTTGACATGGTTGAAATGTTGTAATTTTTGAAGATGTTTATCGGTCTTGCAATGAAGTTGGAAGTTAGCCTTCAAGTTCGTCTTGTAGGTACACAGTTTACAAATGTAGCTTCCAGCCACAGCCATTAGTACTTCTTCTTCGCGTTGCCAAGTTCTATCTTGTTGCATGTGCTGATTCAAGTTCTCGATGTTATCTGCCGAATATACATTGCAAACGCAGCATTGGAACAATTTATGTGAATCGTCGTAAGGAACATCTGTGCGAAGCGCAGTATCCCCCTGTTCCATGTCCACAGTACTGCCCACGTTTATCGGCGGTCCTAGAGTACTCTTGCCCGTCCCGCTAACAGCAGCTACAGCTGCTGCTGCCGCCATAGCTCTCTGCTGTTGTTGTTGCTGCTGCTGTTGGGTTGCCATCATCAACAGAGCATGATTATAAGCCATGTCAGCTAAGGCAGCTTCTGGTTGCAGCTGAGCATCACAGGGCAGGAGTAGGCCAGGATGGAACTGAAACAGAGGATCGAGAGCCTGAGCCTGTTGAAAGGCAGTGAATTGCTGCATATGTTTGACATTCTGTTGCAGAACCATCATATTGTGAGTGTGCTTTTCGCTCGTCATGTGGATTCTCAGATTTCTTGCCACGTTCGTCTCGTAATTGCACACGTCACACCGCCATGTGGCCTTTGGTTTATTAGTAGGGGGAGCTTTCTTCATAGGGTCTGGAAGTGGCGGGGCTGGCAGACCCTGAGGCTGAAGCATATGATCGGTGCTGATGTTGCCATTCTGCAGTTCTTGAACATTATTAATGTGTTTGTCTGACTGCATGTGGATACTAAGGTTGCCCTTGGTAGTGGTTGAATAGTTACACACCTCACAACGATACGGTTTATAACCGCAAGTGTAAGTTTCCCCTCGTGCAAGACGCGGATGAGGTTGATTGGTAAGACAATAAATGCAACTCATTTCATTTTCAGGATGTTTTTCTTTCATATGAATTTCGAGGGTTTCTTGGTACTTATAGTGCCAATTACATTTTGGGCATTTGAGCGTCTTGCACGAATTGCGCGAATGCATCATGGTCATTTGAGTGCCTAAGGAACGATTGACACCCATAACCATGTCACATTTGGAACATTCCACCCCATTGGGCTTTCCTTCAGGATGCTGAACACAAACAGGACTACTTGTCGATGGTGCAGGCGAATGGCATGTAGGCACAACAGGACTGGGTGTTATCAGTCCTTTAGGGGACATCCGTACACCAGGAGAGGTGCTATCAGTGCTGCCGGTGCTAGTAGGTCGCTCCAGTCTACTTAGATTACCACTTCCAAAGGCAAACAGGTTTGATCTGACATCAGATGAATCAGTTTCTTCAATGTGGCCATTAGGAGAACTTTCCTTCTCGTGTTGTTTTTCAGACATGGGTGATGATGGAGGTCTGGTACCCGATGCCTCGGCAGCTGCTGCAGCAGCTGCTTTGGCCATTTTCTCGATATTCGCTAGATCTTCAAGTTCGGGTGCTAGGACTTCTGAGTCTGGACCGCCCAGTGTATGTCTGGTGAGTGAGGAACTTTTAGATGCACTTATTTCAGGCATCGATGATGATACTGGACTCGACGTGGCTGACACAAGTGTGGTCACTGCTGCGCTGTATCCACCCCTCATAGCACTGGACACAGCTGTGTTTACAGCATTTAGGAACACTGTTGTCACTGGGTCTTTTGATGCAAAGGAACTAGGACATGAGCTGTTAGGGACGTAATAGGCGCTCGAAAATTTTGGATACCCGATGACCTGAGCTGATGATGTAGGAATAGGTTCTAAAAATGATAACAACGGTTCTTTGTCTTTTCCAACACCTTGGATTACAGCCGAAGTGTTTTTCTGAGACATAACCTCTCTTTCTTCTTCAACCAGTGTGATATTATGCTCACCAACTGCATGAGCAACAAACGATTTGGCATATCCAAAAGATAGTTTACAAATGAAACACATTAGTATTGGTTTGATAGGTACGGTGGCGTAGTCCAAAATAGGGAAATTAGATTTATCAATTTTACTAGAGTGTTTGGTCGACCCTAAGTTCGTATCGTCATTGGAAGTGCCACTTTCGGTGGCCTGTCTATCTCTCATTGTAAAAACCCTATAACTATGCATAACGGGAACTTCAGGAACTTTTTTCTTCTCTTGTAGGAGGCTGTACGCTTGACCGTACAGGGCACTGTAGAGGGCAGGGTTCCTAGAGATGTGTAGTGCGTTCACTACTTGAGGGAACACCCTGAATGGGGAGGGTGTGACACCTCGTGCGTCCACAATACATCCTTCCTGCTGAGGTAGATCCAAACTGCATTCGTCGTCACTCAATTCGGAGTCGGCACCCTCAATGATATATGCAGAACCGTCTGGATTATAAACAATCTTTCCCGTGAAGTTCTCAACGTCGCTGATTGAACTGTTGTCTGACCCATCTTGCTGTCCGTCTCCTCTCTTGCAAGGACGGGCCTCGCCACAACACACATGTTCCAAATAGGCCTTGCTTGTGTCGAACTCCGTCCTACAACTACCACATTGGGTCACCTTGGTACTGCACTGGACCTGTTCAGGGGACATTCTGCTTTCGTGACTTGGTCGCGATGCCTTCTGATCCCCGGATGTTGAGTCCACTTGATCGGACGAGCAGGAATTGAGAGGGAGAGGTAAACTCCTCTCTACCAGCACATGATTGTCCCTCCCCTGACCAGTGTCCATGGCCGCTGCTGGTGCTTCGGCTTCCATGGTGCTACGTCATCGTGGACACCTCCAACTGACTCTATTAAAAAAAATGCCAATAATCAATCATCAAGCAAATTACCTCCATAAAAAACATTTTCATTAATTAATAATTTACGCATTAATTTATTTGATAAGAATAACGAACTTCAGACCCACTTAAAAGGAATCGCTTTTACAAGATAATGTTTTCATAATCGTTAATTTTGATTTACGTTATCGTATTTTATCGCATTTTAAGAAAATAAAAACAGGCCTATATAAAACTACAGAAAACAATACCGATTGCATTCCTCGTATTTGATTTCCAATACTTTCTGCAGCGCATTTCGGATTTTATCTTTTTTCCGAAATATTTTTATTTATTTAATAATTATTGCCCCTAAAACTTTGATTTTAAATATTAATTTACCAAAATATAATAAAAAAAAATATATATATATAATAGCAGAGAAAAATACGTGATTAATATTTAGTAACGTGTAGAAGTTGACATTTTGAAAATGAAAACAAAAGCAATTTTTCTGAAAGCGCTATAATTTAATGTAAGTTTTCCACACAATGTTATTGTTTATTAAACATAAAAAATTTTATTATCAGCAAAAAATGATTATTATTATTATGATTGCCAAATGAGCTGGACATATTTTTATATACGATACTTTGATATTTTATTTACATATTCTTAAGTATCATAGCTTTAAGAAATCTTTTATAAATAAAGTAATTCCATTAGCAATTGACTGTAGAGCATTTTAACATGGAGACGAACCGAAGAAAATTAGTAGAGTAATGTCCAAACTCCGTGCAAAATGAACGCAGTTAGGGACCTTATTAGGAGACGTCTTCGTCCAGATGGTAATTACTTAATCACAAAAGATCCACTCGAGAAACTAAGTGAAGCCAGTCCAATAGAACAGGAAAAGCTTAGGATCCAGGTGAACGTGGGAAATGTCACCCATGGCTTGTCGCATGACGTCACTGCAAGGTGACCTACCTGATCACGTGATGGGGCGAAGAAACTATCGTTACGAAATGTTATCTATCAAGTCTGTTCTACTTAAAATGACGAACAGTGTGGTAGGCCGATTATATATTTATTTGCCGATTTAAAGAGGGGGAGCGAGAGCTGCAAGTCGGATTAGACTCATCTGAGCCGGTAATTCGAAAAATGGCAGAAATATCGTTTATTTTTTCCTTAATCCAGCCAGTGAAAAGTGACCTTTCTGCCTACTCTTTGCAGCAGGTCTAAAAGCACTATCATTAGCTAGACACAATTGTGTGCAAAATAGCAGCACGGCTTGTTTCTATAGCAACGAGTGACATATTTAGGTGGCTACTCCAGTTGCTATGTCCCAAGTGGTATAGATGTCTGAATGGCGATGGACACAGCACCATTAGCCGGATGGTCGTCTGCGGCCATTAACATATCCAATGCCGTCCAGCGAATCGTAAAATCAAGCAATATTCCGGTTCGGCTCCAGAAGCCAAGAAGTTACATATCATGATGCCAAATGTTTTCAAACCACACAAACATACAATATTTTTGTTTCCATCCTGATACTGTATTTACCTTTCCTACAAAAATTTTTAACCTACCTGTTTATTTCCCTTAAGCTGGGTGTAACATGACCTTAGGGACCTTAGAAATTATACTTTCTTAACAGTGTAATGACAGACGAGTCAATGTAACTTATTCTCATTACTCCATCATTACGACACATTCTCAATGTCTGAGAGAGAAATTAATTTTTGATTGGATATACTTTGCTCTCGTTCTATTGACTTTCACCTTCTATAATAACGAAGAAGAAACATCCTGTTGTAACTAGATGCCACTTAAGTTGCAAGTTACCTGCAGGAGTGTCAATGTTTCACTTCCCTATCACGTCAACCAATTACACAACTGATAACATAAAATACTCGTACTTTAGCGTAATTTTTAAATTTACTTTTAAGTGACAACCGCATAACAATATTACAGCGATGATATGAATGTAAATTAGGAAACGACACTTTGGATAATTGTCAGCCTTTGTTGTGTTCTATCGAACAAATTATTATAACTTTTAGGAATAAAAACTGAAGGACAACATTCCCCAATCTGTAGGGGGTGTCTAGTCTGCAGGTGTCGCCTGTCCCCACCTCGCCCAAGGGTGTCCTGTGATTGATTATTATGGGATTCTTTTGTCTTCGTCAGGGGCAACGATGCCTCTGGCACAAATCATTTCCCTCCTTTCACCCATCTTTACAATGGATTATTTCTTATATACTCGAATCTACTCCCGGGATAGCAAAAACCTTACAGTTTGCAAACTACTACCCAAGGCATCTGGAACGACTCACCAATACAAAAGAATAAGAACAATTCTAAAGCTCGTTCATCGATGGAATTTTTACTATTTTGTCTATTACCGATGTATAATGTATTTGCCAACCGTAAAATTAGCATTTGGAGACCAAAATATCTTAATGATATCACATTTCTTGAAACGGTTATTGATCAAATGTTCTGAGAAATGACTACTTAAGATCAATAGCTGTGACGTCATATCGCGACACTTGGGTAATAAGCAAGAAGAGTTTATTAATGATACAAGTCATATTATAATAACGTATGACTCGGGTCCAAAATTTCCAAAAGTCTATTACTATGCGATTCAAGCCGGCTAACAATGGTGTAGAAATTCATCTGTATAGAATTGTATAGTTCTATTGGCTACTACTTTTCTGTTACATCTCCAAGTACTATTCAGAATCGCGTATCATTGTACTGTCGTCACAATTTATTCAACTTAACTGAAAAGGACTCAAACCCAAAATACAAAACGAGTGAAGTTCGAAGGACAGTAAAGAAAATCTGACCAGTGAAAAAAAAATAAGGATCGAAGGAAAGAAAGGAAAAAAAAAATGGACGAGTATAAATCTATATATAAAAACTTTATTTTCTAACAATCTTTATCAAAGTCTTTCGTACCATCATTAAACTAGATTTGGGGAAAATTTTTTAAAGTACAATTGATGACGGAGACCCGCTTTGTGTCCAATGAAGCAATACTGAGAACAATGATTTACACTTTTCTCCCTAATCATCGACTCCGACAGACGATGGGTAGAGAAAAATTCCATAAACATTATTAATGGATCCAACTCTATTCGTATAGCTTTTGGATGCTGATGAATGCAGACATTAAATCACACGTCATGTGGCACAAAATTCATGATACTCTAGTCCTATTGTTCTGATCAAATCTCTTTCTTTGTCAATTTGGTCATTTTAATATTTTATCTCGTTTTTCGAATCTACTGTTCTGAGACAAATACACAACTCTTTATCTCTTCTTCGTCTGATAGAAGACAAAAATGTTGACAGTTTGAAAGGAATTTACCCATTTTCGGTAGTTTCTTCTTCTTCTTCTTTTTTTTATAATTATTTTTTTTTTTCCATATTGATTAGTTTCCTTAATGACGTTCGGAGTAAAAATATTACTGGAATCGTCATTTAGTCTGTCGACCATTTATTAGAATCCAACTTAAAAATAGTTTCTGTGTGCCATATATTTCTAATAATGCAGATTTATAAATAGAGTAGAAGCATCCTAATTAGAAGTAAAACTTACCCAAAGAATCATTCTCTTTAAGCATNATTTTCATTTTTTAAAAAGAAAGATGAAAGCAACTCCAACTTCATTATGCAATCTTCTTTTTATTTATATTTTTACTTTCATTAGCATATTTTTATTCATACGACTTAATAACAAATGAAAATTTTCAAAATAAATAATATTATATATTACGAATTTTGAGAGTTATTTATTTTAAAAAAACTCGAAAAAGAAATCGCTAAGTAATTAATAATTTGTCGTGCATAAATTACATAAAATTAATTGTATTTCTATTTATTTTTACATTGTGAACGTTAATAGAATTTAGAATATATAGAATTTTTAAAATTATTCTTTCATAAAACAAACAAAAAAAACAAACCTCAAACCGAAGAAATTTCTAAATAAAATAAATAAATAAATTTTCTTCCTTTTAATCCGTAAAACATCAGTCAATATTCTATGCAAAGTTAATTCACAAACCGATAATTGGATTGTATTTTCTCAATAGAAATATTTTCGAAATAAAATTAGTTTGAAAATTAAAAGAAAAAAAAATGTTTAGATTTAATCCCCCTTTAAAAAAAAGAAAAGGTTTTTTTAAGATTTGCCAAATTTAACAGAAGAAAAATATTCAAAAAAATCACAATTATAGAATATAAAAAAAGGGGTGAATAAGGAAAGTAAGAGTTTTGTCAACCCTTACCTTTAAAACCATTCTATCGACGCAAAGGAACAGCTGTGAAAGCTAGTTAGTCCCTAGAGATGTATGATCAATAATCCAATACCGGAATGGAAAAAAAAGGGAAAGCATTATTGAACGTTATTGAATGGTATGAAAATATAGAAATATATAAAGCACTTGTCTACGAAGTGCGCTCCAACATCGTGTACACATACAAATCCGTTGTTATATTTTATTTTTATTCTTTTATACACTCGAAAATCGATCATAAAAACGCATCTCGAATACCATTATACATATAAATTAATATATAAAAAATGTTTAACATTTCGAAAACATTTCTTATACTTAAAACGCCAGGGGTTTTGTTGGAATTGATAGGGTATAAAATGATTTTCTGTCGTTAAAATGACTTATCTTAATGTATTTACACGAATTTATGTATTAATATAGCCAAAAATCGATGACTAAAACACGTTTTAAATACCTTTTTACATGTAAACTAATACATATATCTTAAAAAAAAAAACCTCATTCCTGGTACTGAAAATACCTCGGCGTTGGAATTGGTAGGGTTGAAAATGATTTGATGTCGTTAAAATTGCTTATCTTAGTGTATTTACTTAAAGAATTTATATATTAATGTTTACGATTTCCATTAATCATGCTCCCTGTTTAGATAAGTAAAGTTAAATTAGTCATCGGATTAATAAGAGGATTAACGACTATTGATCAAAAGTGAAATGTAAAATTTGATAACTAAACATTGATTTGGTCGTGTTTGAAATATAAATTTGGATAAATGTTTAATTAATGGGCTCACTGATGAAATTAATTGTGTAATAATTGTTTGCTTAAAACTTAATTTTAACAATTTAGTTATTTAAATTATCCAAACTTTTCCCGACGTTTTCTTAATATCGAGTGACCTATTTTTGTACGTGGCAATGCAGTGCTTCCCTCTAGTAACCAGAAATATTACGAATAGACCCGTTTTGAATTTTAATTTTGATCGATAGGACCACTTAGAGTGATATTTTTGGATATTTTAACAGTTTCCCTACGTTTTATAACTGTTATACACGCCTTTCGCATTCACAGCT